GCTTTCAACACTTCAATCAAATAAAAACCACTTTCATTGAAAGCATAGTCTGCTCTTCAGAAGAGATTTTCAGAGTTTGCACCATCTTCAACAATGCCTGTTGTTAATGCAACACACATAACTGATTTAAAAGCATGGCCAAAGGAATGGCAAAATCTGAGAGGTTTATAGTCTGTTCATGTATTGGTTTGAACTTTCAAGTTTGAATTGATGGTTATTTTAGTTCCAGATTCAAGTTTATTATGTTTAATTTCCAGGTTCAGTTCCCATTGATTTTTATTTCCAGGTTCAGTTCTAATTTTGAATACATTTTGTGTTTTCTTTTCTGTTTTTTCTAGAGAATCTTTAAAAGTAATTTTAGTGCTTGAAAAAGGAAAAATTAATTAGGTTGAAATATAATAACTTAAAAAAATTATAAATAATTGCAGAATTCGGGGATAAGGAGTTGCAAATTCTACTTGAGCACTTTGATCCTGTTCTCATAGAGGCTGGAGTGAATGTTCCTGAAGCTGAAATTGAATGGACAATGATTAAAAAGGAAATACACAAGAGGTAAATATATCAAAAAAATGTTGAGTGCAACTAATTACTTGCCAATATAATCTTTGAGAAACTTGTTAAAGTTGTTTGTTTAAATTGTAGTGATCTTCTTGGAAGTGACTGGGTCCTTATACAGAGAAAATTTGAGAACAAGTTTTCCAACATCCTTGCAGTTATTGACCTCATTTTCACTCTTTCACCAAGCTCTGCAGAAGCAGAAAGAGGGTTTTCCCAATTGAAATGCCTCAAAACAAATCTAAGATCTAGACTCAATCAAACCACACTTAATCATGCTCTCTCTATTAAGCTTCACTCCAAAAACATTATGGACTATGACCCAAAGCCAGCAATACATTCTTGGAACAGCAGTTCCATAAGGCAAAGACGCCCACTATTTGAAAGGAAGAAGAGCATAGAGACTGAAGAAATGGAGGAAAACAGTGATGCTGTCATTGCTGTGAATCATCCTGAGGAGAGCAATGCCATGGAAGAAGAAGAAAACCGTGAGGCAGATGAAGAAGAACCCATTGATGCAAGCGAAGAAGAATCTGAAACCAGTCATGCAATCGGAGATGCAGATGAAGAGTATGATTCAGAGGATGATCTAAGTGATGACATTTCTGAAAATGAAGTTTTTGAAAATTTGAAGGAAATTGAAATGGAATTTGAAATATCTGAATGATTAAAACCTTCTATAGACAAAAATAAACTGTGTTTTGTCCTTTTAATTTTTAAAATAAAAGTGTGGGCAACTAAATTTGGATGTGGGCCCCTGGGATGGCAAAGTTCAGTAGCCCACATGGCTAGCAAAAGTTAGTTTAAAACCCTGCAAATCAACTAACCCCCTAAGATACAACAGTAGAACACCAGATACACTGCATAAAAGCCATTTACCCTAGAAATAATAATTATGACTGAAAAAAAACCCCAATAAAAATATGAAATTGAAACACAATAAAAACATGAATGAATAAAAATAAACAATAATTCAATTATATTAGCTTCTTATATACACACTTACCCATTTAGACAGTATCTACTACAGTGAAAACTGATATTTCAAACAAAACTAAGTTAGTTTTCAGGCACTACACCTGATTTCAAAATTTTCTGAAAATCCAGGATTTATAATTAGTCTAAGTTTAAATAATTCCCTGTTCTAAGTACATAGTTATGAAGAGCAAGAGTGCCTCTTCAAAAATTGTGAATTTCATGGCCCCTGGGTCAAGGGTTCAGGTGTTAGGGTGGGGCTCTATTGATTATATAGAAAAATTGCATTAATTCTTTGAAAGTCTCCTCTGCTCCTGGGTACTAAATAAACTAACTTAGTGCATAGTTATGACGAGCATGGTTGCATCTTCCAAAATTATGAACTTCATGGCCCCTGGGTCAGGTTCTGGTGTTAGGGTGGGGCTCTATTGATATATATAGTGGAAATGCATTAATTCTTTGAAAATCTTCTCCTCTGCTCCTGGATATTAAATAAACTAAGTACATAGATATGATGAGCAAGGCTGCCTCCTCAGAAATTATGAATTCCATGGCCCCTGGGTCAGGGACTCTGGTGTTAGGGCAGGGCTCTATTGATTTTATAGGGAAAATGCATAAATTCTTTCAAAATCTTCTTCTCTGCTTCTGGGTATTATTCAAACCAAGGAAGTGCATGGTTATGATAAGGAAGAATGCCTCATCCAAAGTTGTGAAATCCATGGCCCCTGGGTCAGGGGTTCTGGTGAAGGGTGGGGGTGGGGGGGTCTCTATTGATTATATAGTGAAAATGCATACTTTCTTTCAAAATATTTTTTTTTCTACTACTGGTTATAAAGCAAAGAAACAAGTGTATAGTTATGATGAGCAACGGTGCTTCTTCCAGTCAGATGTTCTGGTGTAAGGGTGGGGCTTTATTTATTTAATAATATTGTGAAAATGCATTTCTTTGAAAATCTTCTATGCTTCTGGGCATATTCGAAGCAAACAGAATAAAAGTTTTAATTAATATGCAAGGGTATTTTTACCACAATTTTGAACACTTAGACTATTTAGTCAAGTGTTCTGGTCCTGGCCAGGGCTCTATTAATTTGTATTCTGCTGAGCGAAGTTATTCCCCTTTGTCATTCAACTTTGATAATTAATCACTGTAAATAATGTATTTGAAAGGTTAATTGAATAAGAGAATTATGCAAGAATATTTATTGTATAATTCAAAAAGTACTTTCATAGTTTTAAATGATCAGGTACAGACTTGGAAATAATAGATGAATAAAAATGAAACAAAAGTAGCTTATCTTTTAAAATGTTCTTCAAAGGCAAAGAGAGGCCAATGTGAGAAGTAATAATATGGGTTTAAAAAATAGACTTTTGTTAATAGTGTGCATGGTTATAGTGATAAAGAGGGGACAGATAGATACTAGACCAATTATTTTGAAGATGCTAATCATACTATTTTTCTTGCTTTTGAGCAACAAAGCTTCATTTATCAGTGTATGGATCCTCTAAATTGTTGTATTGTACTCAGGTGACCGTTAAGGCCCTTGGGCCTCTTGTTTTTAACGGGAATTCATTTGTGTACAAAATGCAGGTTAACAAAAACTTTTAGTAATTTTTAGGTCACCTGAGTCACTCAGGTTACCTATTGCTATCTGTTTTTGTCTTACGTCATGTGGGTGTGCGTCATGCATAAACTTTTCACATTTTCGACTTCTTCTCAAGAACCACTGGGCCAATTTCCACCAAACTTGTCACAAAGTATCCTTGTAATTAAAGTTTGTTTAAATGAAGGGCCACACCTTCTTCCAAGGGGAGATAATTAAGAATTAGTGAAAATTAATGGTATCTTTTAAAGATCTTCTCAAGAACCACTGGACCAGGTAAGATGAAACTTAGATGGAAACATCCTCAGGTAGTGTAGACTCAAGTTTATTAAAATCATAACCGCAGGGATAGGGTGTGGCCACAATGGATGATCAAAGTTTTACATAGAAATACATACAAAAAATCTTTAAAAAATCTTCTCCAGAACCACTGGAAGTCCCCATTAAGGAGTTGAAGGGCCGGCCCCTAAATATATCTTTCGCATATAACTTGGAAACGAAAAAAAATTTTTGAATAGTTGTTGAACAAAAAGTGTTCAACATCATGAGAGCTTTTAGGCGATATGAAGGAAAAGGGTCTGACCCCTTAAATTAGGGGCTGAGAGGGGCCAAAAATGTACAATCAATAACTCTTTAATGATCAATATTTTGTAATATATTACTGAAGCGAAATAGTTCATAATCACACTCTTTAACTAAATAACATGATGTTGACATCATATGTTACGCAATAAGGGGTCATTAGGGGCCAGATTCCATAATCTTTGGCACAATATATCTCGAAAAGGAAGAATATTTTGATAAACAGTATTGAACAAAAGACGTTCAAAATAATATTCTGAACAATATGCACTCTTTCAATTTTTGCTAGACGTCCCCATTTAGGACTTGAAGGGTCGGCCCTTAATATTTCTTTTGCATTTATCCCAAAAACAAAAAAGGATTTCTGAATAGTTGTTGAACAAAAAGTGGTCAAAATCATGAGAGCTTTAAGATGATATCAAGAAAAAAGGGGCTGACCTCTCACATTAGGGGCCAAGAAGGGCCGAAAGTCTTTAATCTATAACCCTTTAATGATCAATATTTTGTTAAACATTACTGAAGCAAAATTGTTCATCTTAACAATTTATTTATATCATTATATTTGAACAAAAATCTCAGTCAAATTCTGTATTTTGACTGAGTATTCACTGGATTTCAGTGAAACTTTCAGAGGTAATGGAACATGATATGAACTTTGTTCATCACAAAGAAAATTTGAAAAATTCCCTTCCGGTTCCAAGTTATGGCCATTTTCCTGATTTTAAAATGGATTATTGTTTTCGCAACTCCTCCAGAATGGCTAAAGATATGAATATAAGACATGTCAGAGATCTTAGAGGATGACTTGTAAATGTTCATTTAATTTTTCATGCGTCATCGATGTTTCCAGTCACCATTTGAAGTGAATTTCAAGAATTGATTTTTTTTTCAACTTTTTTGCTTTTCAATATTTTTTAATGATTTAAGTAGGGATAATAGAAAGTCTTACCTGAGTGCTAAATATATACTTTATTTAAAATTAATAAATCCTTATTCTAGAAATTAGTCACTTTTCCTCTCAAAGCGTGCATCCCCAATAGTACAGTGATTAATGTCGTGCCTCTCACGCAGGCAAGTCGGGTTTAATCTCAAGAATGTTTAAAAATTTTTGTCACTTTTCTTTACCTTAAATTTACAATTTTATCTTTAAAGTGTTGTCTGGTATTTATTGCTGTTAAATCTATTATGATATTTGTTGAAAAATCAGTATCCTGCAAATATCCCACATGCTAAATAAATATGTTACGTCATTTACAGTAACTGATTCATAATTAATTTATTTTTCAGGCCTTTCTTCAGCCCCCAGTAGCTGGACAATAATTAATTTAGATCGACAGTCCAGAGCACTGATTGCCAAAGAGAGTGAGCTTTGTCTGATTGACCATGGAGGACAGTATCAAGTTCAGGTGAATTGAAAATAAAAAAGACATACCACACCTACAGAGTTTATGTATATAGGTGTGTTACGTCTTTTTTAAACGTTATTTTTTCTTGACTGAAAGTGTCAGAATCTCTATTTTAAAAACTTTTAAGTGTAATTAAAGAAGATTCAAAATTTTTAAAATTTATTTTACATTTAACAATCCGGAAGACAAGCCCCTATGGTTACTATGTAAACAGTGTGTGCATAGCAAGCGAAGCATAAACATGGAAGCAAAAGAGAGGAGAGGAGAGAGAGAGAAAGGAAGAGGAAGAGAAAGGAAGAGAAAAGGGAAAGAGAGAAAAATAAATAAAATAAACATCTTTTTTGGAGATGTGCAAAGACCTTTAGAACTCTTCAGAGGACAGATCCCACCAATAAATAGTAGCAAAAAATCAAATTTTGAGATTTATTTTCTTGCATTCTTATTTTTGAAGCCAAATGATATGAAAACACTCAAGAAGGTGGAAAGGCCTCTAATTGTTCTCTGAACAATTAGTCTACTAGTGTTTTATTAGGTCTTTCCACCTTTCTGTGGATTCTTCTGTTTTTTCTTATTATTAAGTCTTTCCACCTTTCTGTGGAAAGACCTATTGAAATTGTTCTGACTATTATTATTATTAGGTCTTTCCACCTTTCTGTGGAAAGACCTCTTGAAATGTTTATGTTTATTATTATTAGCTCACCTGAGCCGAAGGCTCAATTGAGCTTTTCTGATCAAAATTTGTTCATTGTCTGTCATTGTCCGCGTTGTCGTTGTTGGCGTTGTCGTAAACTTTTCACATTTTCATCTTCTTCTCAAGAACCATTGGGCCAATTTCAACCAAACTTGCCTCCTTGGGTAATGGGGATTCAAATGAAGGGCCACACCTTCTTTCAAGGGGAGATAATTATGAATTAGTGAAAAATTAACGGCATCATATAAAAATCTTCTCAAGAACCATTGTGTTTGGAAATATGAACTTATGTTGAATCATTATGAGGTAGTGTAGATTCAAGTTTGCTCAAATCATGACCCAAGGGGATAGGATGGGTCCACAATGGAGGATCAAAGTTTACATAGGAATACATAGGGAAAATCTTTAAAAATATTCTTCTCAAGAACAGCAAAGCCATGTTGAGTCAAATTTATATGGAAGCTTTCTCAGGTAGTGTAGATTCAAGTTCAATTCATGACCCCCAGGGATAGGGTGGGGCCACAATGGATGATCAAAGTTAACATAGAAATATATAGGAAAAATCTTTAAAAATGGAAGCATCCTCAGGTAGTGTAGATTCAAGTTTGTTCAAATCATGACCCCTGGGGGTAGGGTGGGGCCACAATGGATGATCAAAGTTTTACATGGAAATACATTGGAAAAATCTCCTTCTCCAGAACCACTGGGCCAAGAGAGATGAAATATGGAAACATCTTCAGGTAGTGTAGATTCAAATTTGTTAAATCATGACTCCCAGGGGTAGGGTGGGCCGCAATTGACAATAAAAGTTTTACATTGGAATATGTAGAAAAAATCTTGAAAAAATTCTTTCCTCAAGAACAGCAAAGCCATGATTGGTTATATTTACATGGAAACATCCTCAGGTAGTATAGATTCATGTTTGTTCAAATCATGATTCTGGGGATAGGGTGGGGCCACAATGGACGATCAAATATTTACAAAAGCTTCTTCTATCAGTTTATTTTATACTCTATGGATCTTCTATGGATTGTTGTTTTATACTCAGGTGACCATTAAGGCCCTTGGGCCTCTTGCTATTATTATTCCTCCCAAATTTTGTGAGTGTGATTACTCCGAGATGTTTGGATAGATTTACAATTTTTTTTACCAGATAATAGGATGATAGGTGAAGTTTATATGAAATTCCGTTTTTTGAAAAATTCACTTCCAAAGTTATGGCCGAATTTCTAATTTTAAAATGAACTTTTGTCTGGTGTTTTTCTTGGAAATGGTTTTAGGTTAGGAAGTGAAAGTTTCAGGAATATTAGATCCTGATATTTGTCACTGAACAACTTAATTATGTTTGTTTTCAGCAGTTCCTTTCCGAACTGGAAGTGTATTTCTGTTGTGGTCAATTTTCGACTTTTTAGCTCACCTGAGCTGAAAGCTCAAGTGAGCTTTTCTGATCACCCATTGTCCGTCCGTCTCTCCGTCCATCTGTCCATTCGTCTGTCCATCCGTCCTGTAAACTTTTCACATTTTCAACTTCTTCTCAAGAACCAGTGGGCTAATTTTAACCAAACTTTGTACAAAGAATCCTTGGGTGAAGGGGAGATTAAATTGTTAAAATAAAGGGCCAAGTCCCCTTACAAGGGGAGATAATCTAGAAAAGACAAAAATAGGGTTGGGTCATTAAAAAATCTTCTACTCAAGAACCACTGGGCCAAAAAACCTGAAACTTATGTGGAAACATCCTGGGATAGTGTAGATTCTAAATTGTTCAAATCATGACCCCTGGTGGTAGGGCGGAGCCACAATAGGGAATCCAAGTGTTATATTGAAATATATAGGGAAAAACCTTTAAAAATCTTCTTCTCAAGAACCACAGGGCCAGAAAAGCTGAAACTTATGTGGAAGCATCCTGGGAGAGAACCACTGGATCAGAAAAGCTGAAACTCATGTGGAAGCATCCTCGGGTAGTGTAGATTCTAAATTGTTCGAATCATAACCCCCTGGGGTAGGACGGGGCCAATAGGGAATCCAAGTTTTACATTGAAATATGTAAGAAAAATCTTTAAAATTCTTCTCAAGAACAACTTGGCCAGAAAAAGTGAAACTTAATGTGGAAGCATCCTCAAGTAGTGTAGATTCTATATTGTTCAAATCATGACCTCGGGGGTAGGGCAGAGCCACAATAGGGAATCCAAGTTTTACAATGAAATATATTGGAAAAACTTGAAAAATCTTGTTCTCAAGAACCACTGGACCAGAAAAGCAGAAACTTATGTGGAAGCATCCTGGGGTAGTGTAGATTCTAAATTGTTCAAATCATGACCCCAGGGGGTAGGGCGGGGCCACAATAGGTATTACAAGGGGGGAAATCTGGTAAAGAACAGCATTGCCAAAGTTACTCAGGTGAGCAATGTGGCCCATGGGCCTCTTGTTTGCTTTTTAATATTTTTTCAGATTTTTTCAGGTATAGTAGAGATTTGTCTACAATTGCTAAATATATAATTTGTTTTAAAATCAGATGAATTTCACCTACTTTCGTTTTGCATTAAAAAAAGTATCGTTAGTACTGATAGGGCATTTCTTACTTTTACTTACATGAAGGTTGTATTTACATGTTTCTCTACATAAAAAAATTAATGCATATATTATCTTTATATAAGGATGGAGGCTACATTTAATTCCAGCAAAAATCGAAGTACCATAAGTATTGAAAGGACTTTTTCAAGATACCCACTTTTTTCTAACTAGTATAATCAGGCATGTTTTTCTATATACAAAAATCAATGCATACATTATCTTATCAATTTAATTGAAGCTACTTCCATTATCCAATAAAAATCAAAGTACCACAAGGACTGAAAGGACATTTTAAAGGTACTGCATTCTTTTACTTTAATTAATATATAGATGTTTCTCTACTTGCAAAAATCAATGCATGCATTACCATAAATAAGGACAGAGTATACTTTCGTTTTTGCAGTAAAAATCAAAGGACCATAGGTACTGACAGGTTGTTTTCTAGATAGTTCTTAATCCTTACTTCAACTTAAATAGTGTAAATATGATTCTCTTAATGCAAAAAGTAATGCATACTACTTCATATATAAGGACAAGGATACTTTCAATTTTGCACTAAAAATCAAAGTACTGTAAGTACTGACAGGTTGTTGTCTATATACTCTATTTTTACTTAAATAGTCTAAATATGCTTCTCTAAATGCAAAAGCAAAGCATACAATATCATTTAAACTGTATAGGGAAGGAATACTTTCATTTTTGCAATAAATATCAATGGACTGCGAGTACTGAAAAGAAACTTTACCCTACTTTTACTAGTATATACTGTATGTGTATCTCTACATGCAAAAATCAATGCAAACAGTAACATAAAAGAACAGAAGACCTTTTTGTTGCCATGGCAACAAGTTTCTAGTTAAGGTCTTCCATCTTCACGGAAGACCTTATAGTGATTTTATTGTTTCTTATTATTATTATTAAGGTCTTCCATCTTTAGCAGAAGACCTTCTTGTTATTCTTAGGTTTCTTTTCCACCATTTTTATTTATTTTTTTTTCTTACCAATTTTGTGCATGCAAGTTCTTGGAAACAGCTGACTTGATTTTCATGAAACTTTCAGGTCTGATAGGACATCAAAAAATCTAGATATATATTTTTTTTATTTTGATGACTTATCTTTGAAAAGTAGTGATTGTTAGCCGTATTCATTAGCATTTCACGTTTTCTTGTGAATGTATTACTTGCATATGAATAATTTCATTCATTGATTAGTTAGAATTATTTCAATTAAATTTCCATCTTTTTATGAATTTGAAAATCTTTGGATCCACTCCTGCAGGTTTGTAAAAGTCTCATCACTTTAGTACATTCAGTATGCCGGAAATGTTCATGATTCTGCTAAACTAAAAAAAAAAGTATATACATATTTTATCATCTCATAAAAAAATTTAGCCCATGTCCTATGTAAAAATGCCCAAATTGATGAGGAAAATTCAGGAACTATTTTGTGTCAGCCATGTTTTGACGTGAACCTGGCATTCTGTAAATTAAGGTCTTCCATATTCTACAGAAAACATTCTTGTTATTCCTGATATCAGAGAAAAATTAATAATTTTATTTTAAACCAATCAGATGTATCAAAATCAATTTTCTTCTAGAGAATACTTTATATAACTTGAGTGAGAAGGGGGAGGAGATTTTTCTACGAATACTTTCTTTCTTTGGAACAATCTTAGAGCTTATGGTTCAGTTCGGGGTGACATATGCTATTGCTTGCAATAGCAGATTTTCTAGTTATT